GTTCATTTCCTAATTTCATCTGGAGAAGTTCAATAGGATTTCATCGACCAGACAAACTGATAGCGACTGAGCATCTCTTCGGTAAGGAAGACTACGTTAATCCATCGGACAAAGGTTGTTGGATTCTTCATATTTTTCGTTCTTTTCTCAGTCTAAGAAGGTATTTCATAATTTAATTCTATTTTTCTTTGGTTGTATTGGGCACCATATATATGCTTGTGTTTTAAAGGGAACTGCTCGATGTTCTTCTTTTCTAGGGATTGTTATATATTTTTTTACATAACATCGTTTTTGTTGGGTTTTGTATTATTTGTTTTCAAAGTTTTTATGTCACAAATGCAGCAGTTTTTCTGGAATTCTATGGACTAATTAAAAAATATGAACAAATGATATTTTAGTTGTTTTGTTTTGATGTCAACACATATTAACCATATGAATTGCTGCAGCATTGGACTCATAGTCTTAGATATTATATTTTCTCAAATTAAATTTTGGAATATTATGTTTAGTGACCCTTCTTTTGTGATGTTCAGGAATATGGACAATGTTGGGACTTCCGAAATACCGCCGAAAGACAAACAACATTTTCGTTATAAATCAGAATGGATTGATGATCTTGACGTAGATGGAAATCATATAAAAGAAAAAATGTTTGAATCTGAGGAGGAAGCTGGGGATTTTTACAATTTTTATGCCAAATGTACGAGATTTTCAATCAGAAAGGATGATGTACGACGCAACAAAAGCTCGGGTATGATTGACATGCGTAAATGGGTTTGTTCTAAGGAAGGGTTCCGTGATAAAAAGTGGTTAGAAAAGGAAGATATATCAAGAGAACCCAGGCCCCTGACTAGAGTTGGTTGCCCAGCAGTATTTCGTGTCAAGTACAACAAGAGGCTAAAGAAGTTTGTTGTCACGGAATTCGTAAAGAAACACAACCATGAACTCATGACTGAGGAGGGCGTATCATTTTTGTTCTCCCATCAATCGGTGAAGGAGTCTGATCTTGTAGAAGCGATTTCCATGCATGAAGTCGGTTGGCGTACGAGTGAGATAATGAATTTTTTTGCACATCGAGCAGGTGGATACCACAAAATTGGCTTTACCTTGAAAGATTTGTATAACTCTGTCTATGCCAAACGAAAAGCAGACATACGAGACGGGGATGCGGAAGGTGCTTTGGCCTATTTCAGTGCAAAAAAAGATTCGGATCCATCATTTTTCTTCAAGTTTGATGTCGACGAAAGCAATCGATTACGTCATTTAATATGGGTTGAATCTAGGTGCCAGTCAGATTACCAATATTTTGGAGACGTGTTGGTGTTTGATACGACCTACAGGACTAATGCTTATCGGAAACCTCTGGTCATATTAGCCGGTGTAAATAACCATTACATGACTACAATTTTTGGGGCTGCACTGTTGTCAGATGAAACTGAAGAGACATACGTTTGGGTCTTAGAGACCTTTGTAGCTGCAATGGGAGGTAAAAAACCTATTTCAGTTATCACAGATGGGGATAATTCTATGAGACTAGCCATAGAGAATGTTCTTCCAGAGGCGAGGCATAGATTGTGTAGTTGGCACCTTCAACGGAATGCGGCCGTAAATGTACATTCCACGTGCTTTTGTCAAGCCTTCTACAAATGTATGGATAAAATTTGCAGCAAAGAAGAATTTGAAAGGAGCTGGAAGGATTGTATCCAAAAGCAACAAGTTGAAAATAACTCATGGGTAAACGAGACGTATTCAAAACGTTCAAAGTGGGCAGAAGCATACTTAAGGGGACATTTTTTCGGAAATATGAAATGCACTCAGCGGTGTGAAGGTATGAATGCATATTTTAAGAAGCATGTGAATCTTAAAATGAGGTTATATGAATTTGTTAGATCATTTGATTTGGCTTTGGCAAGGCTAGGGTATAGGAAGCGAAGGCAAATGCTGTAACACTAAATAGCTCTCCTGTACTTAGTACTCATTTGAAAGATATCGAGAAACATGCGGCAGATTCTTTGACCAGAAATATGTTCTTTATTGTTCGTGAAGAACTAAAAAAGGAAGCTGTATTATTGAGCAAAATTGAGCATGAATTTGGTTCAACCAAGATGTACTCTGTATATGAGTATTCAAAGCCTGATCTTACACTTACCGTAAAATTTGATAAAGATTCCCATTTATTTGAGTGTTCTTGCTTGCAATTCGAGACGGTTGGGTGGCCTTGTGCTCATATGTTTGCAATGATGAAGGCCGAACATATAAAAGAGATTCCTTCAACTTGTGTAATGAAGAGGTGGACTCGGGATGCTAAGGAAAACGAGCTCAACAAAAAAGAACCAGAAATTCGTAAAGATGTCACTCAAAATGCACGCTATGGTTCTTTGATTTCCCTTTGTAACAAGATGTGGTACTGTGCCTCATTATGCGATGAAGGATATGGTGAATTATGTGACACAATCGCTCGGGTGACAAATAGAATGCATGAAATTTATTCCAACTCCTGTCCTTCTGACAATGAAACCGATGCTTCAAAGAAAAATGAAAAGCATCAGTTTGGTGTGCGTGATCCAATAATTACAAAAACTAAAGGATCAAGTGGTTTACATTCCAAACAAAGACCAAGAAGGTGTAGAAAATGCAGGTATTTTCTCATATTCACCTATACTTAAAAGTCACTTATTTTTATTAAAATCTATTATCAGACCTTACACACATTGTGAAACATCATGTAACCTTTGCTAACATGTTCTTTAAATTTTTAAAATGTTTATTTAGGCTTCCTGGACACAATAAAACAACATGCCCCAAGATGAAATCTCGAGAAGATGACAAAGATTCATTGGATTTTGACACTTCAGGCGAGGATAATAGCCAAGATCAATCTTCTTTTCATGCCAGTTCAAGGAGGGGATATCACAGTTGTGAATATGCAAACTCTAGCCATGTGAATGAACAACCAAATGCTTTTCCTACATCTAATCAATATTCTGGAAATGACTTAAGCTTCCAGGTAAAAGAATTCACGAATTTAACTTCATTTTACCAAGATAGTATTAAACTTTCCATATGCTAACCTATATGAAACATGATTTGTTGTTTTCGTTTGATCCAAGTAGTGTGGAAGCTCAATTTGGCATTTCCAGTCAAACAAGCATCAGAATGGAGAGAAGGGTAACAATTATTCCATGGTAATGCTTGTGATGCTATAGAAATTATAAAATTGTTATTAACCTTTACTTTTCGAAATGCAGGGTTTGGATGAACGTCGTAGTCATAGTCCAAGAATGTGATTGTATGTAGGACTGGTAAAATTTGAGGTTTTCAGCAGTTAACCGCTCAAAAATTGTCTCTATCTACACGTGTATCCAACTCATTTCTACCAAGCTGATGTTTATATTGTTATTTTATATATTTTTTTATTGGTTTTTTTTTTCATGACATATCTGGATATTAGAGATGAACGGAAAGGGATAAGCTCGCGATCAGAGATGAAAGAAACTACTTGAAGAATGAGAGGCTCCAGAGTTTTTAGAGCATGATATTACCCTCCTTACAGTATAAGGATTTGAATGGTCGTCGGCACGTTTTGCTGGCTAAATAACTTCTTCAGTTTGTCTAATTTGAAGTTGAATCTTCATTTGTGTGCCTATATCGATTTGACTGTTTTTAATCTCAGTGACCCTGCAAATAGATTTATATTGGTTAAGTGGTGTCATGTTAATCTTTCATCTAAATTTGTTTATATTGGTTTGGGCAGCAATGCCTTCTGACTTCTTAGGTTTCTGTAATTGGAGCACTTTATGGAGAACTCGTAGGTTTTTGTAACTTCCTCCTGACAAAGAAGCAAGAAGTTTCACAATGTGAATTGTTTCTTGAAAATTGGAATAGTATATGTACTGATGGTGTTGCAGGCTGTTCGAGTTATTACTTGGCATCCTTGATCTTCTCGTTCAGAAGAAGCATGTTGAAGGCAATATAAATTCTGGTATTGTTCATATAAAATCTCAAGGAAATGGCAATACAAAAGGATTGATGGTAAAGTTGGTGAAGCAGAAAGAAAAATTCGAATAGACAGGTTTAATGCTAATAATTCATTAAGGTTTTGTTTTCTGTTATCCACTAGAACTGGAGGCATTGGAATAAACCTCGCTACTGCAGACACCGTAATCATATATGATAGGTAATATTTATTTTTCAGTATTATATAATTTTCACATTGTAGCATGATTTCTATTGAAGCATTGTGGCACAAAAAGCATGGGATAGTTGAGGTATCATTTATGTTTAGATCTTCATTACAAAGAATATATAGTTGGACCCTGGCAAAGCTTTAATTATGTGCTTATAGATCTTTTCTATTCCACATCATCTGTTTCATTACTCCAAAGTTTGTGTTTTTCTTTTATATGTAGAAGTCTAATTAGATTGACAATATTGTGGTTGCTATATTTCTGTTTATATTTCGCATGGACTCAAGTACACTATAGCCAGACTAAGAGCGTTTAATTCTGAGTTATAACTATCCCCTTCTGTTTTGGACTTTTGGTGAAAGAATTGATAATATTTCTTCAATGCTTCGTTCTATCAGATATGTTTCACTGACCAAGTTTTGGAAAATTTTGGTGAATGAAATATTAAGCATATTTGAATGATAGATGTAGCAAAGAAGGATGGACACTGGTTTTGCAAGTTGTTTTACCTAGCATTTTTAAGTTGGGTGAAGGACTTCTCTTAAAGCATTACCATGGCATGTAGAGTTCTTGTCAAATGGTTGGAGATGGTTTGAAATTATGTACACTTTTAGGTATTTGGTTTATGTGTTCATATTTGTAGTACTCGAATAGGAGAGTGCACAAATGCACTCAACTGTCATAGTTTTCCATGGTTTTTCTAGATTATGATAGTTTTTCATGTCTTTGTGGGTCATATATCTCTACT